CACCAGAATTCACTCAATAATTCTAACTTATACAATAGTCAAGTCAACAGAAAAGAAATACAGCTTGGAGGCAGAGGCTGATCTGGATCTTTCTTGATTGTCCTAATTCTCTATTGCCTGAGAAGCCATCTACACACATCAGGCCTTGGCTTTGTACTTCAGCAATGGAGACGAGGAAAGCACACATATCTAGTCAATCTGAGGTGTGCTGTTGCTTTGGTCATTTCAAACTCGATGTGGCAGCAATTAACAGATTAGGACATGGAATAGGTAGTCAAAAGAGATACCCAGAATGCAGGGTTGTAAAAGAGTCTTATTTATTAGAAAGAATAACAAAGTACTTTTATACACATGTTATGTAACATAGAAAGTCTGGGCTATTAGGCTCCTGGGTAATAGTGAATTTATTATAGAACCTAAAATACCAAGCTTAAATACTTAAGAATTCCTGCTTACAACTAGAGTTATTTTTTTTTAATTTAAGTTTAGTAGATAAAGGTCTATTGAAAAATACTGCAAAAATATGAAATTTCAATAGCATCAGTGACCATATGTATTGTAAAACTCTCTTTCTGGAGAAATAGTGAATTGATCTAGCCCAATAATAATACATTTTCTCCTAAAAAATGCAAGTGTATATAGCAATACTGTATACATATATTCAAACAGCAATATTCTTCCATCAAAAGTGAATAACCCTTAAAAATTATAATGTATACAGCAGACCACTCTATGCACAAAAACTATATTTTGGAGTCAAAGAACAGTAAAGTACAACCAACTGTAGATCTTCTTTGTTAATGGACCATGGGAAGAACATTAAAACACAGATAAACAAAATTAGTTTATTTATTTGACAAATATTTTGAGCACATATCATGTGCCAGGTGTTGTGTTTGGCACTGACAATGCAATTGTGGACATGACAGGCATGTTCTCTGCTCTTGTGAAGTCTATTATCTAATGGAGGAAGCTGACAAATAGGCTATTACAATATAGCATGAGAAGTGCTAATAGGGAAAGTACTGGGTTCCACATGATGAGGAAGCAAACACATAGAGAGAAACTACATGATGTCCAAGTTGAGGACTTAAGGGTATGCAGATATAGGTCATTCTGGTGAGGCGAGGTTAAAAGAAAGAAGGGAAATTATGTACAAAGTTTGGGAAGTAAGAAAGCATGCCTCTTTCAAAACAAACATTTCATGAAGGGCTTGTAAAATGTATGAAAGAATAAGACGTTTATCATAATGGTAACAAGCTGCCATTAAAAACCTTTAGGCTAAGGAGATTAGAGTTTTATTTTAGAAACGTTACTATAACTATACGGATTCTAATCAGGATTCTAAGATAGCATTCCAGATAAGATGCTGGTGGTAATGGATGAGGTTAGTGATGCTGGGAGTGCAGTAGGAAGGTAAAATAATTTTTTTAGAAATAAAATAGAGAAGAGTTGGTAATTTTTGTATGTGGGGAGTGTAGGAGAAACAGGAGTTAAAGATGACAGGAACAATTCCTATCTGAACATGGATAAGAGGAATATGTCATTTGCTGAGAAAGGAATTACAGGCAGAAAGGATTTGGAAGGATGCTGAGCTCTTCTTTTTTGGATAGGCTTAATTTGAAATATTATGGGATAACCAGGGGCAAATACTGGGCAAGCAAATAAATGGATGAATTTTTTATTCTGTCCAGCACTCTGTTCTGAATTGGAGATGCAGCTCAGGAATTGTTAATATGTAAATGGCAACTGAAACCATGGTAGGGGTGACATTGTCCTAGGTGATGTATGGAGAGATGAGAGAACAGGCTGTTGATCTGACCCCTAGGAACACCAAAAATTAAGTGTTAGGCATAGAAATAGGAGTTATGAAAGGCCCCCATATCCACTAATAATTCTGAAGCCTTAATTTGTTTATTAGTACTAGATGTACTAACAGGTATAAAAGTATTACTTGACTTTTCTTTTTCCTTTACCTTGTAAAGACATAAACCAATAATGACAGAATTTTAAGTAACCAGAAATAAACATTTATAAAATAATTTAAAATATAATCTACACACCAAATGTCCCTTGATTGCTCAATGTCTAGTTCTATTTTGAATTTATATCACAACAGACCTTTACTTATACTGTGGTTTGTGCTTCAATAGTTCTGTAACTTATCTTTTTCTGATTGCCTGGAGAGTCTTTCATGGGTTTCCAGCTCAGTGACAACCCAGATTTTTCTCTGATCAAAACATGATTCATAGAAACATGCTTCAGAAGGTAACTATGGCCCCTAATCCTCACATGGGAAAGATCAAGATACAGTTTTGGATGAAAATGGAAACATGGCCTCTAGGGGTGACTAATCAGTGGTGTGTTGATGTATTTTTAACAACTGACTGCTCAGAAAACAAAAACAAAAACAAAAACAAACCTTGATTTATAGTGTTTGTCAATTTTTATGGTATAAATACTCCCACCACAGCCAATTTAAGCTACCAGCTTGATATCATTAAAGGCAGAAAAGAAAAAAATGTACACAATTTGTTCCCATAAGCTAGTGCAAGCTGGCTCCAGCACACACTTGGACTAAGAAAGATGTAACTGGTAAACAGATAAAAGAAAACACCTAAGACAGCAAGATATGAAAGGACTGAATTCTACAAAATATTCAGATTTACTTTAAAGAAAATTGATTACTCATGTGTATAGTCAGTTTATTTCTGGATTTTGACCTTTTCTTTGAATTGAGGGCTGACATCATGGTGATGTATACATTAATAATCTAATGGCCTTAACATTGTAACTTCTATTTCTTTATTCATAAGCAACAAGTTTCTATAAATGGCTTGTATTTGCCATTGAAATGACTGAGAATAATTTTCAATCTACTTTTTTTATACCATGAACCAAAGAAATTTTACTAATTTCATTTAGGATATCAGTACAATCTACATTATAATATTTCACAAAAGAAAATATTTTATTTCCATCAAATAACTAGTTTTTTTCCCATATCAAACCAATAACATATATAGAAAGAAGAGCAGCAAAATAGTTCTTATTTCTTTATATAATTTAATAATACCCTATTAACACCAGTGTGCAGATGCACAGTATTGACAGTATATTAAATAATATTTAATATATTAAAACTTCCTTTTAAAATATTTTCAACAGTAGGTACTGGTGGAACCATATTATTGATTATGTAGACAACGTCTTTTTGTATTCCAAAGGGAAATTAAAATCCCTGGTAACATTAGAAAAAAATTACTTATTAATATTTTATGCAGATATACAAAATCTCCTAACTTCTATTGTACACAAATAAAAACACCTTTTCAAACAACTTGCACTTATACTGAGCTCATAAAGGTTACTATAAAAATACTGCAGACCCAATAAAAACACAATGAAATATACAAAGTCTTCTGTTTTTTAAAAGTCAATTTTAAAAGGCCTGTATTTATACAAACAAATGTACAATACATTTTAGTGCCCCTGACTGGTGTTTTTGTTTAGTATTGTCTAATTTTAGAAATGTAAGTTCAATGTTTTTCATTATTTTCTGCTTCAGAATGGAAGACACTGAGAATTCACAGAATAATTTTAAAAACTGGATTGGGTAAAAACTTTATAAAGTAGAATATTAAACACTTTACATATAGTAGTTATTGACCTACCCAAGATAAAAATGCCCCAGAGTCCTATTTTCCTTTTTTAACTGGAATTCCTAGATAATTATGTTAACTACCTGTCCCTTGTTTAAATAGTCTTTGAGATGAAAGTATAAAGATTTTAGGTTCTCTAACGAAATCCAAAATATCATCAAAGCCATTTCCACTTCCAAAATGTATTTTTAAAAAATGCTTATTTAAATATCAAACCCTGCAGTGCTGAATTAAGACACACTAAACACAGAGCTAACCAATTACTGACTTGGTTTTAGCCTTAGAAGAATATTAGAATTGGCTGGTTATTTCCAAATTTAAGTATCTAATTTTATACTGTAATATGGTACTTTCTAATACAGACATCAAGGAAAAACGAGCTGATTTTTTTTTTCTTAGAACAATATAGTAAAATACAGAACAATTTTCTGGGGGAGAAAATCCATGCCACGCTAGGAAATACATTGTTTTAAATCTTAAAATAATTGTTATAAAAGAACTATAAAATTATAAATAATTGGAAAAAATGCACTTGAAAATGTCTCTCTAGGAAAAATATGCAACTTGTTATATACAAGAAAATATGGATTACCATAGGGTATAGCCAACTATAGGCCTGGTTTATGAAACATTTAAAAAAAAACTCACAAAAAGTAATTAGCACCAAAATTGTCTAAAACTTCAAATGATATACTGGAGAAATTCCAGGTCCAACTGTTGCATTATAAAAAACTTATATTCAACCTGAGAACTTTCCCCAGGAACAATAAACATATTCTTTTCAGTCTTCAGAAAATATGCTAGCTTTAAACATTTTCACCACAATATTCAGGTAGTGTATATACATATTATTTACCTTTGTTTGGGCCAAGCAGGGACAACAGAAATATAACTAATTCCCAAATAATATGGGATTATTTGATAGAGGTGGGGGTGGAACAATTTTCCAATTAAAATTTACGTTTAGCTTGTTTCCTCCTTTTTCCTCCAAGTATTTTTATTGGAACTCTTTCTAATAAGTATATTGCTTAATTTGAACTCAATATCCTATGATCATTGTTTGGTGGTGTTATTAAAATTCGGCATGGGGCTAGAGGTGTCTAAATGTGGGTACAGATCACAGTAGTGAAAAAAGAGTTTTGAATAAGCTAATTTCTATTCAAAATATATATTTAATTTTGTTATAATCAAGAGTTGAGTTTAGCTTTAAACAACATACTTATAGATTTAATTACAAAACAGCCAGCACACAACCTGAAATAGGGCAAACCTTTTTGGCCTTCAAATGTATAACTTCATTGATTACATACATGGCTAATGAATGTCCACTAACAATTCATTCGGCCAAGTTTTACTGCTGCACATAAATAATGACAAGGCAAAGGACAGCAACTAGTCCAAGGGCTTGTAGGCCAAGGAACCACAGCATGAGCCAAAAGAAAATGACTATTACTGGTTCCACAATTCGTTCTCCAAAATACATCCTTGTGAAGCCCATGTTGAGGAGGCTTTTGTTCAATTCACCAAAAAGTGTTCCCATCTTTTTGTAGTCATCTCCAACAGAATCACCAGTGTGGTTTTGTGATTCTTCAATATCCTTAAAGAACAAAAAAGAAAGAAAAAACAAAACATGAACATAAAATGGGAACTATGTAAAGGACTTCAAGAATAACAACTATTTTATAGTTCTTCACCTCTCAAAACAGTAGGTATACATCTGATAATCATTCTATAAATCACATTAATTTAATACAACGATATGTTCTTTTTAACCGACACACAGAATACTATGTCTGTACCCACCTTTCAAGAATATAAAAGATACTAATTCATTGATTTCTATGGAATAAACACAAACGGAATCTGCAACTACCACAACACTGACTTACAAAACTAAGGAAACAGATGATTCATTTCCATTTATTTTTTAGTTTCCTGGAACTGCACAGAGATGATTGCCTAAATGAAGAACCATGTTTGTATCTCTTGTCAGTGACCATGCTTTCAGAGCAACCTTTTCAGCCACTCCCTGTTTTGTAAGGGAGGGCTTCTGATTACTTGGTCCTGTTAAGCTTCTTTTTAGTTCATTCCTTTGACATCAAGATTTTAATGAACTGAGACTCAGATGACTGGAGCATATTTTGTTGTTACTATTAAGCAATCCTCCGCCATTATTGTTGTGATCTTTCAGGCTTAGTCTTAGCTATGCAGACTTTGGGGTAAGCCCTTGCATAGTTTCCTCTTCAAATACTACAAAGGTCCTAAATGCCTTTTATTAATTGTTAGGGTCTGTAAACAAGTCAAGATGGCGCCTGGCATTTTGCCAGAGGGCGTGGTTTGTGAAGAAAAGCCAGCGAGCCATTAAGTGTGGAGATTCCTTATTGGTTGACTGCTGTATCTAGTTTATGTTAATTAAGATAAGCTGTATGGAATGTATATATACCCCTCCTGTCCTACAATAAACGGCTCCCACTCCTGCTGTATCAATGTACACAAGTTGATCATCACCTCCCCTCCCCAGTTATTTTGCCCAGCCAACCGGGCTGCAGCAATTAATCTCACTGGGAGAAACAACTAAGGCCAAAGTCAGTGCCCCAGAAAATGTTCAGGTATACTCAATTATATGTATACAAATGCTATTCCTAGTATTTCCCAACTTTATTATGCTTAAGGCCATCATGTCAGTTATTAAGCACTGTCTCAGCTTCAAATCTACTTCTATGGTTTGCACATTGTCTCCTCAAAGCTTCATGTTTGAGAACATGGTCTTCAGTTTTAAGTTGGGGCCCAGTGGGAGGTCATTATGTCAACAGGGGCATGCCCTCAAAAGGGATTAAGGTATTTCTTCTTCCAGAATGTGCTCCAGTGAAGCAATCCACCTTGAGGTGATGTAGTCAAGGGGGAAGCCCACATCAGAGCCTGCACCATGCCATGTAGCATCCAGAATTGTGAGCAAATTTCTTTAAAAACTTATTCTGTTTTAGGCATTTTCATACAGTAATGAAAACTGATTAATATACCCACTCTTTGGAATTCTGCAAAAATTTCTGGTTCCGTTAGTCTCCACCAATACAGGAACTAAAGCAACACTGCATAGATGATGAAAGAAAAAAGGATTTGCTCTTTTGTTGGCTTTGGATGGATTTCTTAATCCCGTTAGTCTCTCTAGTGACAGTTCTTCACTCTGGCAGTGATAAATCCTTCCAGTAGCAGTAACTGATTGCAATTTGGAAGCCTCTCAGTACTTCTAGAATCTGTATCAATGTGCATTCTTTAGATATCAGTTCCAACTCATGGTTACCCCTTCCTCAGATATTTGGTTCCTACGTCTATGCTGTTCCTTTTCTGAAATCATAGACACTGTTACCTAGTAAGCAATTACCCGTTTTCAGAAGTTTGTGTTTCAGTTGCATGGAGGTCTTTCCTCAATCTCCTCAGTTTTAGAAATTTTATCTCTTTTTTTCACTGCCCCAGTCCTTGGAGTGGTGGCTGCTTCTGGCTGCTGCTGCTGTCACTATGACATCTTGGTGCAGTGGTTTTTAAACTTTAGCATTCATTAGAGTCCCTGGGATTTCTTGTTAAAGCACAGATTGCTGGGTACATTACCAAGGTTTCTAATTCAGTAAGTCATCGGGGTGAGGCTTGGAGTCTAAAAATTTGCCCTTCAAAGAAATTTCCAGGTGATGTTTATGATGCTGTTACGGTGACCATCCTTTGAAAATCACTACCTTAGTGTTTTATTTCTGGCTTTTCTTTTTGAACACCTATTTAAAAATTATTTATTATCTTTGTTAAAATAATGGTATGCTTTCAATCTCCTCACTAGACTGTAGTTCAATCATAAAAGAAAAACCGTGTCATGTAGCTGATGTAATTATAACATTAAAGCTAATAGGAGGCATGATTCAAATAATTATTGAACCCTGCTCATATTATTCACAGTAGCTGTAAGATGGAGAATTACTCATATTTTAAAAAACCTGTAGACACAGGGTTTCACATAAAAACAAGGAAGGTTTCACATAAATATGCTGTGCAGGCCGAAGGAAAGTAAAGCTAATTATTAAAAAAAGAGGGTGTCTTAGGTATTTCCTTAGGTAATGAAAAACTGACTAATATATCTTCCCTTCGGAATTCTGCAAAATTTTCTGGTTCCCTGTTAGGCTCTGCCAACAGAGGAACCAAAGCAACACTGCATAGGTGGAAAAGGAAGAAGGGATTTCTTGCAACAACTCTGGCTGTTGCAGCCTGCTTCTTCTTCTTTTTTTAATTATAAAACTTCTAGCACACACAAAATTAGAGAAAATAGCACAATGAATTCCTACATACCTATCAACCAGATTTAATAACTCCTAAAATTCTGCCAACTTACTGTAGCATTTCTTAACTTGGACAAGGAGCTGCCACAAAGTGCTAATAAATTTGAGGAAGTCGTAAAGCGTTCTTCACACCTGAATCAAACTTACATTCCTTTATGTGGATCATTTTAGTCTTCTACCCCTAAATAACTAAGAATATATGTATTTTTCATTTTAAATAGGAGGGCTTGCTTAACACATGCCTGTAATCCCAGCTGCTTAGAAGGCTGAGGTAGAAGTTTAAAGCCAGCTTCAGCAACTTACCATGGCCTTGTCTCAAAATAAAAAAAAAAAAAAAAAAAAAAAAGAGGGGCTGGGGATGTGGCTCAGTGGTTAAGCACCCTGGGTTTAATCCCTGGCTTGCACACACACACACAAAAGGTCTTTACAATGTCTTATTTTCTATTCTGTATTACAGTTTAAAAATACATCTTTAAGGGAAGAGAGAATGGAAATTTTTTTGTTAGAAATAGTCTGACAAAGTGATTTTCAATATGACTTAAGAAGTGGACTTTTTCCACATACTAGTAAATTTTTTAAAATGTAAGATACCACAAGGGATTGATTTTAATTTTCATCAGAAAGGGCTTGTGAAAAACAATGTGCTATAAAATTATCCAGGGAGTTTAAAACCAGGCTGCAAAACTTAATTTAGCTGAGTGATCTTCTCCTGATTTCCTGTGTCTCAGTTTTCTAATCCATAAAATGGATTTATATGATTCTTTTCTGATTCTTATAATTTTCTTTAAAGTTATAATTTATATGTTCATCTCTCCTTTTAAAAAATTTTTTAGTTTTATTTTTTAGTTGTTGATAGACCTTTATTTATATGTGGTGCCGAGAATCAAACCCAGTGCCTCACACATGCCAGGCAAGTGCACTACCGCTGAGCCATAGCCCCAGCCCTCCATCTCCCCTTTTTAAAAAACTTGATTTATACATTATTTTTCACTTTTCCCATTAAGCTATGATTGGGCTAATTTTTGTTTCTCATCATCCTGTACTTTTATGTGCTTCATGATAATACACTACAGCAAGACAATTTGTTCTGATATTAAGCCTTTCTTTTCTTTAGGGTAGAATCTTAAGTCTTTAGCTTATAATTCTTCTAATCCCTCATCTCTCTCTACTCCTCAAGTATTTAGCATTATTGATATTATTTCTGGCTTCTTTTTATTCACTTTTTAATTAAAGTTATTTTTTATAACTCTTGATTTCTTATAATCTATATGCACATTGTACTTTGTTTTTTGTTACTGAAGCTCTTTAAGACTTTTTTTTTTCAGTAGTTTTGTGGTTTGAGTACAAAGAAAGTACCCTAATGTGATACGACAGGTATTCTCTGAAGATTTATTTTAAACTCTTTGTAAAATGAATTAAATGTACAAATCCTCCTGCATTTTTCAGGGGAGGAAGTAGGTGTTACAACACTTAAATCAGAGTAGGGGATGAGTTAACCACTAGAGGCCAGGTGAGGAAACAGCTCTTCTCAAAACACTTGGTGGTGCACCTTAGATACAGCATTAATCAGAGTATTAATCTCCAGAATATTTAAAGAACTCAAAAAACTTAACACCAAAAACAAACAAACAAACAAACAAACAAATAACCCAATTAATAAATGGGCAAAGGAACTAAACAGACATTTCACAGAAAAAATATGATCAGCTAACAAATTTATTACAAATGTTCACCATCTCTAGCAATTAGAGAAATGCAAATTAAAACTACACTGAGATTTCATCTCAGTCCAGTCAGAATGGAAATTATCAAGAATAAATGTTGGCAAGGATGTGGGGAAAAGGGTAAACTCACATTTCTGGTGGGGACTGCAAATTGGTACAAGCACTCTGGAAGTAGTATGGAGATTACTTAGAAAACTTGGAATCAAACCTCCATTTGACCCAGTTATTCCACTCCTTGTTCTATACCCAAATTACTTAAAATCAGCATTCTATAGTAATGCAGCCACACCAATGTTTACAGCAGCTCAATTTACAATAGTCAAGCTATGGAACCAACCTAGGTGCCCTTCAACAGATGAATGGATAAAGGAAGTGTCACACACACACACACACACACACACACACAGGAATATTAGTTAGCCATAAAGAAGAATGAAATTATAGCATTTGCTGGTAAATAAATGCAACTGGAGAATATCATGCTAAGTGAAATAAGTCAGTCCTCAAAAACCAAAGGCTGAAGATTTTTTTCCCCCCTGATATATGGATGCTAA